CCAAACAATCGCATTGTGGTCGCAAGGCGTCCCGGTGGGGTTCGGGAGGACTCGATATCTCGATATCTCGATATCTCGATATCTCGATATCGGGGGCGGGGGCTCGATATCTCGATATCTCGATATCTCGATATCGGGGGGCGGGGACTCGATATCTCGATATCTCGATATGTCGATATCTCGATATCGGGGGGCGGGGCCTGGCGGAGACTCGATATCTCGATATCTCGATATCTCGATATCGGGGGCGAGGCCTGGCGGGGACTCGATATCTCGATATCTCGGAATCTCGATGTCGAGGGCGGGGCTGTGCGGAGACTCGAGAAGTCGATATCTCCGTGCCGCGACTGGGAGCGTTTTATCCGATACAGCTGCCTACCGATGTCCACAATTTTGCAAACTGCGTCCAGAGGTCGAGATACCGAGATACCGAGATACCGAGATACCGAGATCTCGAATTAATTACCAAGAAGGCGCCCCCCCTCCCCCATCACTTCCTTGGCCCCGCCCGCCAGGGCCGCCCGCAAGGCCCCCGCGGTATGAACAAAAACATATAGTCCAAGCGAAAGTGCTCGCTTCCGCCTCGGCGCCGCTATCATTTTTGACGCAAGGGCTTCCGATGTATTGTTTTTTTCGCGCACGGAACGCATCCCCCCAAAACACCGGGGTCGTCACCGACCCGGTGTTTTCGAGGGTGGCGGTTTCCATCCCTCTCATCATTTTGTTTTTCCTGGAGAAGCGCCGGGCTCGGCGGATTGCTTCGGGCTCCTCGACGGTTGCGTCAATGACCGGGGGGGTTGGGGAGGGGACGGTGTTTCTCTTCTCTTCCTTGAGAGAGGGCAAGGGGAGCAGCGCCCTCCGCCTGCTCCTGCTCCTGCTGCTCCTCCTCCTCCTCCTCCTCATCCTCCTCCTCCTCCCAACATTCCTTTGCCTTCTCCCTCCTGCTTGGCTCAAGTCGGCGTGCGCTCTCGCCCCGACTGCTTGCACCCTCGGACATGTTGGCGCATATCAACGGCCCAGCGTCGGATAAGGATGAGGGGGAGGAGGAGGGGGAGAAGGAGAAGGAGGAGGAGGAGGAGGAGGAGGAGGAGGAGGGGGGGGATGAGGAGGAGGAGGAGGAGGAGGAGGAGGAGGAGGAGGGGGAAGAGGAAGAGGAAGAGGAGGAGGAAGAGGAGGAGGAGGAGGACGAGGATGAGGAGGACGAGGACGAGGAGGACGAGGAGGAGGACGAGGAGGAGGTGTTCCTGAGGGACCCTTGCGAACCTTTTGAGCCGTCTTGGCGTCTTCGGCCGCATCGGAGCCGCCCGTGCCAAAAACACCGTTCTGCCAGGTGACCCGGTATTTTTGCGATGTGCGTTTGGATGGTAAAATTTCAGCACTGGCGGTCAAAAATGTCACCAGCGCCGAGACGGGAGCGGGCACTTTCGCCCGAATCATGTAAATTCACACATCAAATGCACGGCATTCTGTCTCGCAGGCCGCCTTGGCGGAGACGCGCGGGGAGGCGGAGGAGGACGAGGAGGACGAGGAGGAGGAGGAGGAGGAGGAGGAGGAGGAGGAGGAGGAGGAGGAGGAGGAGGAGGAGGAGGAGGAGCAGCAGCTGTCCTTGACTATGGTTTCCGCCGAGCCCTGGGCTATATCGAGTCCCCGCCTTGCCGCGCCCCCGATACCGAGAGATCGAGATATCGAGATATCGAGTCCCCTTCTGGGCTCGCACCCGATATCGAGATATCGAGATATCGAGATATCGAGTCCCCGCCTGGCCGCGCCACCGATACCGAGATATTGAGATATCGAGATATCGAAACCCCGTCCTGGCCGCGCCCCACATATCGAGATATCGAGATATCGAGATATCGAGATATCGAGTCCGAGCGAAACAACCACCTTTGTTAACCGGGACTCCTGTGTTCCTCAGCCTGGGGTGTTTGTGGACGGCTCGGCCAGACATGACCTTTGAATCGAGCCACGACCTCCTCTGAGCCAGCCTGCAGAAACACCCCCGCGAAGGACGCTCGGGCAAGCTCACGAATCTGAGGCCTGGTGCACGACCCATCGACGACGCCATCCGACGCAGTCTCGAGAATCGTGAACTCCTGCAGAGCAGTCCCTTGGGGATTCGAAATCTCTGGATACATCATGTCCGTTAGGGGTTGGAACGTGAGGGAGGGGTGAGGGAAAACAAGGCGGGTCCAGAACGGGTGGGGAGGGCCAGCCTGAATTACTTCCTGCACAATATCTGGCTCTGCTGTCTGGGCCCTGACTTCCTCGACCTCGGGGCTGGGACAGGTCCAGGGCCTGTGGAATACACTGTCGTGTCCTCCTCACAGAAGGCATCGACCATCATCGATCTGGCGGCGATCACGTGTCAAGTCCGCCCTACAAACACAATTTGCTACAGGCATACTTCTGGCGCTGAGTGCAATTCTTAGACTTACATGCACCATTGCGCACAATATCAGGCCACACACGTGCATGATCAAAACTGTCCAATCTATGTGCCAATTCGCGCTCATGCTTACGCTGTACCGCATCTCTCAGCATATATCTGATCATGCTCGGGGCCGTGTACACGAGTGATATTTCTACACCAATGTCGTCTTCCCAACTTGCGAAGTTCTTGGCTGTCCACCCTACGTGCTGGAGGGAAAGGGGCATACGAGACATGGGTCCTCGCGTGTGTCTCCATTGATGGTGGGGCTCAAGTCCCTCCTGCACGGTCTGGAACATACTCACAAGCTCGCGAATGCTGAACAACGATCGCTCCGATGCAACCACCGCTTGCCAGACTGCGACTGCCCACGAAACAGCAGGACGTCGGCCATCGGGTCGCCATGGAGCACCATCTTTGCCAGCAACGAGCCGCCTCGATGTGAGAGCGAGCGGAAACTGAGCAGCGTAGCGCGAGCTCGCTGCATTTCGCAGCCAGACATGCCGAGGATAGCACTGCCATATGCCAGTGCTGGCTTGAGGCCGGCCTGAAGAATTGTCGCCATACGGTGCTTACCATGTGAGAGCCATTTACGAAATCGAAGAACACGTGCGTGACGAAGTCGAAACTGACGAAACCGATCGCGACGTTTCCGACGAGCCCCTTTCGATGCCGTGATTTGCGCTGGCGTAAAATCGACTCCGACGTTGACGGGCGAGTACGTGATGGTACCCGCGGGAAGCCCTCGAATCTGCAGCTGACGAGCCAGAACCCTAGCTATTTCAGGGGAGGTTGCAATCGTGACGTAACTCGAAAGCCAAATAGGAAGAGAAAGCCTACCCGTGACATGTTCAAAGGCACCGATGGCGTAGACTTTAACGAACGCTTCATTGAACATATCTCCGACAGGGAGTCCACTTTCTGCAAAGAGTGCGACAGGATGGAAGGCAGGGCCTAGCCTAACCGGCCTCGGAGAACGCCACACATTGTACATCGTTTTGACTATGACCCTAGGGATGCCCCATCAAAGAGTTCGCGGTCGAAGGAGATCCAGCTGTAAATATTCGTAGTACTTCTTTCCGTCCCATTGGGCCCCACGAGCAGTTTTATCGTCAGCAGCCGCTATCTCCCCAAGGGCCGTCTGGGCCCACACACACACACACACACACAATATTCAGCACTCTTACCAGAACCGAACGCCCCATATGCCCAGGAGGAGGAGGAGGTGGAGGAGGAGGAGGAGGAGGAGGACCAGGAAGGCTGGGAGGGATTGGGAACAGGGATGTAAATGAGGGTAGTTTCGCAAGCGTGGGGGTGAGAGGAGGCGAGGTGGAGGGGGGCATGTTTTTTGCGGTGGTGGGGCTTGGGGTGTGAGAGCGGGCGAGCGGCAGCGGAAACAGTGAGTCGAGGGAAAGCGGGCAGGAGGGGGAACGAGAGAAGGGAGTGGACGCGACGCGAGATGGTGAGTGGGGGCGAGCGGCAGCGGAAACAGGGAGGCGAGGGAAAGCGGGCAGGGTGGGGAACGAGAGAAAGGAGTGGTGGACGCGACGCGAGATGTTGGAAGCCAGCCAACACTAACAAAGTGGGCGCTCCGAAAGGGCCTCGCCTTCGAGGATCGAAGGAGTTGCCATCTCTTCCTCGGCGGAAGGCGGCGGAAGGTCGGCGGAAGGGCGGCGGAAGGAGGCGGAGGTAACACGAGGGCGGTTCCGCCAGCGGAAGCCAGCGGAAGGGCGGCGGAAGGTGGCGGGAGGAAATCATGCGCCCCCAAGAGATGACAACATTTTTGGGTTCAGGGTTTCTGGAACCCGTCAAATGAAGAAGCCCGGACCTGGCCCTGTCGGTGTGACTGACGACTGAGTGGTGCACGCGAACTTCTTTTTCGCTTGGTCGAGAGCTGAAGCTATGAGTACCTTTGCAATAAGCTTGCTGGTCGAAGTCCGTACATCTGCAGGAGCAGTGGATGGGAAGGATCTGGGGATGGGCGAGTTGATGATGATGATGATGATGCTGATCGTGCTGCTGATGATGATGATTTTGATGATGATGACGATGAAGATGATGAGGATGTTGATGCTGATGATGCTGATGCTGCTGCCGATGATGATGATGATGATGATGATGATGATGATGATGATGATGATGATGAAAATGATGATGATGATGATGATGATGCTGATGCTGATGATGATGATGACGATGATGACGATGATGATGATGATGATGATGATGATGATGATGATGATGATGATGATGATGATGATGATGGCGATGGCGATGGTGATGACGATGATGATGCTGCTGATGATGAGGAGGAGGAAGAGGACGAGGAGGAGGAGGAGGAGGAGGAAGAGGAGGAAGAGGAGGAGGAGGAGGAGGAGGAGGAGGAGGAGCAGGGGGAATGGGATCGGATGGGTGAGGGGGAGAGAGGGAAGGGGAGGAAGAGAGGCAGGGGCAGGGGGTGGCGGGGTGGGGTGGGTGGGGCGTGGGGGTGCGGAGAGGCGGGGAGGGATGAGGGGAGCGCCCATTGCTTTCGCGTGCCCGTTTCTGGTCTCCCGAGCGCCGCGCGTAGGTCTTCTTCGGGCCGTACATCACCACGGCCCGCTCCTCAAGCCGCCGACTGCACCAATGACGACGACGACGACGGCGGCGGCGGCGACGGCGACGGCGACGGACAACGACGTAGCCGACGAGGCCGACGAAGCCGCGCCGATGACGATTGCAAGGACCACCCACCAAACACCCTAACCCAGCCCGAATGCCCCAATTTGCCCTCCATTCCCAGTGGGGGAGGGGGTCGGGGAACATGGGCAAAAAAACATCTGAAGCCCGTACACCCCCCAACCCAAAAATTTGGGTCTCCGGATTGGGTTGGGGTAGTCAGGCAAGGACCAGGAGCAGGACCAGGACGAGAGCGACTGCGCTTGGTGCCCGCCGTCGTGCCAGAACACGTGGGCCGGCGGGCTTCTCTTCCGAGGGCTTCTCCCCCTCGCTGCGCCCACCGGTACGAGGGGCCCTCCGTGGGGAGCGAGTGGGAGGGACCCCGTCCAAGGTGGGAGGATCCCTCGGGGAGGATCGAAGAGTGAGGGGTCGATTCATCGAACAGGGGATCGAGGATCGAGGATCGAGGACCGCGGATCGAGGAAGGAGGAGGAGAATGAGGAGGGGGAGGGATGTGAAGAGGGAGGGAGGGAGGGAGGGAGGGGAGGGAGGGAGGAGGGAGGGGAGGGAGGGAGGGAGGGAGGGAGGAGGAGGAGGAGCAGGAGGAGGATTCATCGAAGGGAAGATCGAGGACCGAGGATCGAGGATCGAGAATCGAGGATCGAGGTGGAGGAGGAGGAGGAGGAAGAGGGATGTGAGGAGGCGGAGGAGGGGCAGGAAGGGAGGAGGGGGATTAGGCTCAAGTGCCATCTCGGCGCAGGCCAGTCAGAAGGGAAGGAACTAGTTCGTCTGCGCCGTGATGCACCAGGGCTGGCCCAGCAAGTACTGTGCCTACTTGAGCGCCGAGGTCGAGCTTACAGTTCTCGTCTTCGGTGAACGCCAGGCTAATTCGCTTCTGAGAGGTATCGCCGGTGCACTTGCTGTGGCTGGCCTCTGCTCCTGACCATGGGCCTCCAGCCCGGTGCTTGAGCACGCAGTTTTTATTACCCTCTACTGGCACGCCTTACGAGTTGTTGTCTTCTTCCCTCTTGGTACGAGACAGACCGTGGGTTGGTGGTTGGATTGGTGGGTATTCACCATGTGTGACGTATCGAATTTCCGTTTCTGGTGCTCGTGCAGGCCTGGCTCTTGGATTCTATGAAGGTGGAGTTTTGTTTTTGGTATTGTCTGTGGCCGCAGCGTTGTGGGCGCCCGCGGGATAATTGGGATAATTGTTCCCAGGCTGATGTGATTGTGTGTGTGTGGCTTCCTGGTGCCAATCAGCAGCTCGGCCATGCTGTCATGGGTTCCCAGCGTGTCGGTTGCGTTCTTCTTGAGGCTTGCCAGTGGCGGATTGCTGCTTACCTTTAGCTCGTCAGAATGTGATTCTGCACGAGGCTGTAGCCCTCTGGTGCCAATGGCGGGGCGTGCTGGTATGGTCGGCGGCGGTTATTCGTGAATTGGCGCGTGGGCCTCGTCTTGTTCCTAATTCCGCTGGTGTCGGAGCAGCTGTTCCGGGGCTTGGCGTTTTTAACCTGTGATATTGTGTGTGCTGGCTTGGCTGAGTGCCCGATGGCGTAGCTTTCTGGTATCAGTGTCGTGGAGCTGGTTTGGTTGGCGTTCGGCTTCTTCGTGCACTGATGTATAAACTTCGATTTCCCGGAGCCCGAGGGGAGGTGTGGTTTGCTTGACCTATTCATTTCAGATGCCTTGAAGCTTTGAAGGGGGCTGAGGGGAAGGCGGGATGAGAGTAGAGTGAGGGGGAGAGAGTGAATGGAATAGGGAGGTGGATGCGAAGCCGAGAAGATGGAAGGAGGGGATGAGAAGGATGACAAGGGAGGTGGGAGAAGGATGATGAGGATGATGATGATGAGGAGGAGGAGGAGGGGGAGGAGAACGAGGAGGAGGATGAGGAGGTGGAGGAGCAGGTCGAGGGATGAACTCGGAGTTTGCAGGGCCTTCTAGGATGCTGGGGTGCTCCAGGAGGCCATGGGGGGGTCCCTCTCCCCCCTCCTTTCCTTTCTCCTCCCGCGAGGGAAGGGGGGGCAGGGGGAAAGGTGAGAACCGGACCCGCGGTCGTCACGATGGCCTCCCACTGGAGTTCCTCGAGCCCCCGTCTCCGTACCTCGTGTAGAGCCGTGCCTTATTGGACCGGTCGCCTGTCGGTGGGTGCACGGCACAGGCTGGCTGTCGGGCCTGGAAGATGGGGCACCGCATCGGGAGGGCAGCGCTCGGCTGGGAGTTGAGGCCCCGAGGGGAGGGCGGCTCACTCCTGGCCGCACGGACTGTGGAGGGTGGCACCGCGCGTGCAGCTCCATGCCCCAGGGGAGCACCAGCCTGCAGGGGCGGTGCCTCTCTTTGGGCGGCGTGTGGTCGCTCCTTCGTCCGCTGCGACTCGTGGGACGCGGATCGCGTGCTCGGCTTCCTGGTCGCCACGGGTGCGCGTTTCGCCGCGGCCGCGTGTCGCGTGTCGCGCCGTGGTGGTGGTGTCGTGCTGTCCTGGTGCGGTGGCGTCGGGATGTCACCGTGTCGCTTTGCCGTGGAAGCTAGCAGCAGACGCCAAGATCTATACAGTCGTCACAGCATGCAGTCTTGGCCCAGCGCATATGCTGACAATTCCGCTAAGATCAGCACGTGTCCTTCCAGGTCCGTTTGATTGCACGCACAGGGGTATAGTGCACAGGGGTATAATGCTCTCACTGCTCTGAATAGCTTCTGCCTGCTCATTAGAGATGCGGACACCGTGCGCAGGAGGTCTCGTCATAACTTTCCAGGGCTGCGTCTCTCACAACTGACACTCGACATCACACACGTGTAACGGCGTCCGTTCTGCAAGGCAATGCGCCCCGAGTTTGCCTCATGGCTTTAGTTGGAAACGACTGCTCGTACATGCTCAGATGGTCTTATGGTTTTGGTACACGGATTGGGGATTGTGACAGTTGCCATTGGATCAGTTGGGCTCCCCAGCGAAGCACCTGGACAACCACCTGCCGCATTGTTTTGATATTTGTGTTTGCTGGCGGGCTGATCCACGCATCCACATCGGTTCGAGGATTTCCGAACAACCATTTGTTTTCGGCAGAGTAGATAAGGCGATTGTGCCTTCCTGTTAGCACGGCGGCGTCGTTTGGCAGGCCAGCTTTCCACGTGCCAAGCATCTTGTGTACCGAGCATGCGCCGCGCTGACGATGTGCTTCTGCGCGCGCGTGTGACGCGCACAGCTGCCACACGTGCAGACGCGATCACCGCAGCTGCCCCCGTTGCTCTCGTTGAGCACTCTGGCCGCGCTGGCTGGGCGCCGCACCCCCTGGGTGCGCAGCGCACGGGGCGTTTGTGAACGGCGACGTCGGCTTGGTGCGCCTTCGTGAGCCGCCCCTCCTGCTCGTGTGCGCGGGGGGTTGATCTGCAACGTTGCAAAGCACAGGAGTTCGACTTCGAGACCTGCGATCGAGCCGCGGGGGGCTCGTCAGAGACCAGTGCGTAGTTTTGGTACGATGCGGCGAAAGAGTGCATCGAGCGCAAGCTCGCCAGGAATGCGGCCTGTGCGCTCCTGAAGGCAGCCACTTTTGGTTCAAAGTGAGAAGGGGGCTGATGTGGTCACACGAGCCTCACGTCGCACGCCCCAGAACAAAAGCCTCGCCGTGTGTCCACTGGCGGAAGAGCGGGCGGCCGGCCGGCCGAAGGCGGCAGAAGTAAAAGTTGGGCGTCGACATTTTTTGGGGTCCAGGGCTTCTGGAGTCGGACGCATGAGCGACGCCAGAGAAGGGGTTCGTCTTCACCGACATTGGCGCGTAAGCTCCCCGCGTAAGGTCGCGCGTAAGCGCCCTCGTCTCCAGCGTGGCGTGCTGCGCTGGCGGCACGCGTAAGCCACCGCGTAAGGTCGCTGCGTCATCTGGCGTAAGACCCGTTTTTAATCGTCGCTCACATGGCAGTGGAGCTCTGCCCGTACTGCACGTGTCACTGATCGCATCACATCCTGACACACCTGGCTTGTCCCGGTGCCCGCACTGCGCCCCGCCGCCGCCGGGCCCCGGCGCAGCAGCCGCCGCTTACCCCGCCGGCGGGGCTGGCCGCGCCACTCGCTCCGGGTGTGACCCGTCTTCCTGAGCGGCCCTCGCTCCCTGTCTCCTCCTTCGGCCGCCCTCCCTACTTTCTCCCCTTTTAAGTCGCTTCAGCGGTATCCCCGTTTTGATGGTACTTCCGCCAGCGCAGTTACTCTGCCTAGCCGCCGATGCAAAAATGTAGTGCGCGTGCCTCGCGCGTGCCCTCCCGCTCTGGTTTTCCAGTTCCTGCTGCCGTCCTGCTCTGACGCGGGGCTCGGCGGCCCTCCTGGTGGGCGCGCCCTCGCGCTGTCCGTGCCCCTCCCGTCTCTTCCCGAGCCTCGCGTCCCCTGCAGAGCTTCAGGAAGAGGAGGGGGGAGGGGAGGAGGAGGGAGGAGGGGGAGGAGGAGGAGGAAGAAGAAGAAGAACCAGCATAATAATAACAGGACACATAACAATATTCATGCTGCTATTAATACTGACAAGACTAATCATAACAAAGTATAGAAAGGCGGCTCATACTAATACGCATACGATGAATAAGAAGGACACGAATCATAATAGTAAGAAACTAAGCATAATATTAATGCTACGAAGAAGAAGCAAACGAGCAAACAACACAAACATATTATGACGCATGATGCGAATCAGAAGAAGAACAACCATACTAGTAATAGTAACATTACTGATAATAGTACTAACGATCCTACGTATAAGAGGAACACTCGAATAATATTAAACGGACAAATGCTGATACTACTACTAATAAGCGGAGGAGGAAGAGGAGGAGGAGGTGGGGGGAGGAGGGGGATGATGATGATGATGATGATGATGATGATGATGATGATGATGATGATGATGATGATGATGTGATGATGATGATGATGATGATGATGCTGATGCTGATGCTGATGCTGAT